CAAAATAATGACAAAACACCAAACACATTAAAAATTCATCCAAAACTCATCCGAGCCCCATGGGACTCTAACCAAGTACACTAACAAGCCCCAAAATACAATACGAATTTAGTCGAGGCTTAAAACCATGTCAAACAATGTCGAAATTACGAATCACGCCTCGAATCGAATTATGAGTTTTCAAATCTTCCAACTTCTATAATATGCGTCGAAACGTATCAAATCAATCCGGAATGACTTCAAATTCTGTACACGAGTCATAAATGACATAATGGACATGTTTCAATATTCGGAATCGAATTTTGACCCTGATATCAATAAAGTCAACTCCCGGTCATACTTTCTTAAAATCTTTCATTTTCCAACTTTTGCCAAAATGCATCGAACTGACTTACGTACTTCTAAATCTAATTCCGGACATACGCCTAAGTCCAAAATCACCATACGAAACCATTGGAATCATCAAAACTCCATTCTGGAGTCGTTTATTCAAAAGTCAAAACTCCGATCAACTCTTTTCATTTAAGCTTCAAAAGTAAGAATTGTTCTTTCATTTTAATTCTGAATCTTCCTAAAATCAAACTCGACCGCAAACGTACGTTATAATACATATTACGAAGCTGCTCGGTGCCTTAAACTGTTGAACGGGATGCCAATTCATAAAATGACAAGTCGGGTCGTTACAGCATCCATGGGCAATTCTGTCAGACTCGTCCTCTTCCTCGTCCTTTGGCCATGGAACCACCGGAGGCGCAGGTTTAACTAACGTGCACCAAGAGCATGGCTTAGAGAGAGAGAGAGAGAGAGAGAAACCGTTTGGTAAATATCTCCTTTAATTATGTTCATTTTCATTATGACTTATTAATTAGCAATATTTATTTATGCGATTTTATTATCTTTATTGTTGAATATTTTAGTACAATGTCATGACTCATCTCACATTGTTTTATGTTATTTTTTTGGTAACACCTTATATAGTTGTATCCTACTAAAATTAAAGAAATATTTAGAGCATAAGTTATATTTCTTGTGTACTGAAAATTTTACCGAAAAAAATTCGAAAAATCCGAGAAAACCGAAAAATTCGAGAAAAATCGAGATTGAGAAACCCGACTTTTATTGGTTTGATTTGATTTATAGATTTAAAAATCCGACACAATTGATTCAATTTGGTAATTAAAAAATTTGAACCAACTCAACCTATGTTTACCCCTACCTCTAACTTACTAACACCTTTTTTGGATGGTTGTTACCTATTGTATTGTATCGTATCGTATCGTATTGTTACTTTAAATACAATATTTGTTTTTACTATTACTTAAATTTTATTGCATCGTATCGTTAAATCCATCATTACGTAACGACGAAATACCATTTTATGGAACGACGAATTTGGTGTGGTGATGTGGTTATCTTGCTTTTTTCTCTCATATTGCCCTGTATTATTATTAAATAATCATAATTTATTCTTTACCCTACTTTTTTATATAATAATTCTTTCGTATCTTTTTTTTTGGGTAATATTGCAAGTTTATTCTTTATATTGTTGGTGCGTTACATCATGAAACAACGACAAATGATACAATCTATCCGAACATTATATTTATCAAATAATATAGTACAATGCAGTACAATATACTACAATATATTATGAAACGACAAGTAACAGCAATCCAAACAAAGCTGTAAAAGTTAAGATACTTCGTATTATTTTATGATTTAGCAACAGTTCTATTTAGAGTAATACACAAAGAATGATTCGACAATAAAACAGTGGTAAACAACCAAAACTTATAGCTTGTTTGGATGGTGGTTACATATGGTATTGTATCGTATTGTTACTTTAAATACAATGTTTGTTTTGATTGTTACTTTAATTTATTGTATCGTATCGTCAAATCCATCGTTATGTAACGACGAAAAGTGACACTTTATGAAACGACAGATTTGGTGTGGTGGCGTCGTTTCTTTGCTTTTTTCCCTCTCATCTTGCCCTTCTTTATTATATAATTATATTTTATTCTTTATCCTACTTTTTATATAATAATTCTACTATGTATCCTACTTTTTTTAGTAATGTTGTAAGTTTATTTTTCATATTGTTAGTGCGTGATATCATAAAACGACGGTAAACAATACAATATATCCAAACATTTTATTCATCAAACAATACAATACAATACAATACAATACAATACAATACAATATTAAACTACATGTAACAATAATCCAAACAAGATGTAAAGTCCGAAAGAGGCATGTCCATTGGTTTTAAATTAATATCCACTTTCATTCGTTTATTATTTCTACTCACAAGTTATACATTTAATATAACAAAGTTATCCGAGATCAACTTCTTATTTCTTGACGTGGACTTTGTCTATCATGAAAATGCACTTGAAAAGAATTTAACCGTTTGTCCAAACTTCTAAAATCAACTTATTTAAAAAGTATTTTTCTAAAAATATATTTTATTTTTGGTGAGAAATAAATTGTGTTTGACTAATTAATTTGAAAAATACTTTTGAGTAGTAATTAATGTTTGACCAAGCTTTTAAAAAGTACTTTTAAGTATATTTTAAAAAAAAAATATTTTTCAAAAAAGTAATTTTGGCAATAAACTATTTTTTCTGCTTCTCAAAAATTATTTCTATTTTTACTCAAAAGCATATTTTTCTTCTAAAAACTTGACCAAATACCTTAATTTTAAATAAAAAGTATTTTTGGCCCTAAAAAAAGTACTTTTGACCAAAAAAATAAAATAAAATTAATCAAACATGCTATAATTGTGATTGAAAAACACTCATAATGGTGGAAACCACACACGGTCCCAATATCGTTCCATTGTTTACAAATGTCTTCGTCCCAAATTCTGTCTTATCTGACAGAAGATATATATTCTTAAATTTCTTTTATTTTTGGAGAATAAAATCTGATAAAATAAGTCATACGTAATATTCCGAAAATTTGAAAAATTTAATAGAAAATAACATTACTTTAAGACTAATTAAAGGAAACAGTACGCTTTCAAAATAATATTTAAGGGTGTATTAAATGGTCTATGTTTCCTAGCTCTGCTGATACTTTACTACTAGATCACAATTTACAACTTGAAACTCAACTTGAAATAAAATATATAAAAGGAGTAACTCACACACAATAAAAATAATTGGATGAACGAGGTGAAACTAAATTAAAGTTTACTCATCATTGTTTTCGATAAAGAATAAGGCAGGGTAAAGTTCACTGAACCAAAAGTATAGTGTACATAACACTTATTATCCACTGCATACATAAACAATGGGAGAAGCCACAGGTAATCAGTTGTTAAACATTGGACGGGCATAGTTTGGACAAACGTAAAATTCAAATCAATATTTAAAATATTTGGAGTTTTGGTTTGAATTTTCTAATTATGAATTGGATTTTGAATTTAATTTTTAAATTTTTAAAAGTTTTGGATTTTCGATTGGATGTTGGATTTAGCACATTGGATTTTTGAATATTCAAAAATTTAATTTTTATTTTATTTTATATTTAGTCCATTATCCAAATAAAAATAAGTTCAACATCCTGTTCATTAGGCATTATCTCATATATTCAATATTAATACTAAGCTACTATCAGAATACTTTCTATTTGGACATGATTTTACTATTGTTAATTTTTATCAGTCTTATTAATGTTTCTATTGCATTTTCTTGATGATGAGTTCTATCACTTGAATACTTTATTTGGATAATTGTTGTGAGAATAAGAAACTTTTTAGGCAATTTAACCTGAAAACTTTATTTCGATGTTTATTTTTGTAAGAAGAAGAAACATCAACTTATGGGCTCAACTGAAAATCTGAAAATATTCATACCGATTAATCCAAAATATAACTTAAAAATTCGAGCTAATATGAGCTTTATTTGGATTGAATTTGGATTGTCATTTCTTCAATTCGAAAATTAAAATTTTAAATCGAAATTTTCATATCCAATCCGAACTGCCCGAAAGCCCACCTCTATATGAAGCTATTCCCTTCTACATGATTATGTGGTGGCCAAATCTTATTGTACAAGTGTCTGCAAGAAATCTCTTTAAGAACTAGGCCTAGTATGCCTAGTTCTAAAATTAAATGTATGCCGAATTGTATTTATTGTTGCCATTTCTATTCCCTATACTGACAACTACGTCTCAGTTCCAAATAAATTGGTATCGTTTATATAAAATATATATCACCAATCACGTCGCTCTATTCAATCTCATCAGAGACATATTATACAATAATAAATAATAACAATAACGATAACAATAACTATAATAATAAGAGTAATTCTCAATATTTTCTATTAGCACATAAGCTTCAGATTGAGATTAAATTAAAATACTCTAGAAAACATAAGGTCTAAGAAAATTCTCTTTATTTTCGACTAGCATATAATCTCAGATCGGATCAAAAGACTCTGGAAAGCAAAAGACCTAAGGTAAACGTACAAATGTCTTTAGGTGTATCTCGTCTCCTTTAATATCGTTACTTCCATGGTATCTGACCGACAAATTGGTATTCCTGACGTTTGATGGAGGACATTATCAAATCATTTCAAATATTTTCTCATTTTATTTTGATATGTACTATTTACATCTTCAGTCGAATATGATTATTTCGAATAATGTCTATACTACCCTCGTCATTCCTCAACCAAATACATTTAATTCATTAAAAATATAAAACTCAAAACTAATTCCTGAGGATCAATGATTGAATTAGTGATACATACAATATTAATATTGATAGTAGTAATAGATTTTAAAGTTTTACACACCTCAGTACTCTATGCATTGCCAAGTGTTGGGCAACCTTAATGGAAGTTTCATTTGGACAAGTTTTCTTGTCTTTTTGACCAATTCTCTTTAGCTTACCTCATTTTTCGGTCACGGCCTCATAGGGTTGGTCCCCCAATCTTTGACATCACCACCAACNCCAAATCTTGTCATTGACATATTTTTTTTAGTCCTATTGTCCATAATTACAATCATTTACCTAATTAATTAGCAAAAATCTAACAACCCCACCTCACACTTTGTTTCTTTCTTGTCCATTTTCCTCTTCCTCTTTCTCTAATGAGTTATTTTCCTCATTTGATTCTTTTTCACTAGGTAATTTTCCTCATTTCATTATGCTTAACACATATGTTGCAACACATGTTATTATATTTAAATTACATGAATTTTCATGATTGATTCTGAGCTCAACTTTAGATCTGGCATTTTCTTGGCAGCTCAATTGAAAATCTTGAAATGAAAGTTTGAATTTTTGCTGCTAATTAAGCAATTGCATATTGGGTAAAATCAATTCAGAGGAGTTACAGTAATGGGGTATTTGAATTCAGTATTATCATCATCTTCTAATCAAGTTCATGCTGATGATGCGCCTGTTAGTGGTGGTGGTCTAAGGTGATTCCCTCCTTATTCATTTATTTATGCTATTTTTTATTTTATAAAGTAATGATTTTTATGCTGTTTTTTGGGATAAAGTAATGATTTTTATGCTGTTTTTTGGGATAAAGTAATGATTTTTATGCTTTTTTTTTGGGGGATAAAGTAATGATTTTTATTAATTAGATTGGGGAATCCTGCATATAAGATGTATACAAAGGTAGAGAATGGTCATACAGAAAAGTATTTTGTGAAAATAGAACCTAATTTTTTATTTACTTGTGTTAAATTCTTTATGCATGTTAATTGGATTGTCAAGAAGATTATGTGGGCTGCTTTTCATTAGGTTTTTTGTGAAATTCTCTATGTAATTCCCTTTTCCCATGTTCCTGACATTTGTTAGAATCTTTTTTCTCATATGATGGAGCTTAGTTTATAAAAATTGCTTCTCGGGCATTGGGTACCCGCGCCTCGTAATGTGGATGCTTGTTTGAGCTGTCTTAACTAGAGGAATTTTCCATTGGGTTGAAATTGGTTCTCTACTTGCCGGATCCGACTAGATTAGAATCTTAGATATATGGAATGAGTTTGGATATGCTCAGACAACTGGAATGTGGTTATGAGTTGCTTTTGTGAATGAAATGTGCAATCTTTATCATGGGTTGGCTCTTGTATTAGTTGATGGATATTTTACGTAGAAATGTATGCAAATAAGCATAGCGGGACTCATATTTGCTATTGAAAAGAATATTCAAAGTGTCTTTCATGGAAAGAATTATTCGTTGGCCATAAATCCAGAAATATAAGGAAATCCATGCTTAAGTTGCAACTTGATATTATGGTGATTCAGATTATTTATAGTTGTGTTTGATCAGGTTCATGTGATTATTATATTCTGTCTGTTTTTTGTCATCATCTTGTCCAAAAATCCCGAAATAGTAGAATTTGAAGTGCTTTCATTGTGATTAATCTAGCTTTGATGAAGTTTTATATAAGATAAAAGTTGCAAAGCTGTAGTCTAACAGATGCTATGTCTTGCAGTCAGAATGGGAAGTTCAGCTACGGATACGCTAGCTCTCCGGGAAAAAGGTCCTCCATGGAGGATTTCTATGAGACAAGAATTGATGGTGTAGAAGGAGAGGTAGTTGGTCTCTTTGGAGTGTTTGATGGTAACTATTCTTCTCTGTTTCCGCCTCCTGACTGGAATAAAGTGGCCGAACTAGAATAAATGAAAAAAATACAGATCTTGATTTGTTTAAGAATTTAATGTCATTTAAGTTTTTACACGTAGTAAGACATTCAATATCTCAATCAGATGACCATAAATTCGTCTAGAATTTTTCTGTCGGACTACTGCTATCCGATACTTCATAGATCCTTACAGTTTGTATGTTCCGTTTATATTGGTTTCGGCGGCGAGGCCTAAGGATTGCCGCCACTGTTTTCTACAAGCATTACTTTTAAAATTATCTGCTGGAATTAAGAATTATCTAGTCTTCATTCTTCATTCAATACCTCTTCTAAGTGGTGAGCGAAGTACCTTCCGATGTCAGGGGGCTAACATTCCATTAGTGTATGCACGCATCTTTAAAGAAATGCCTGAATGGTCAGTCAACATATAAATATTTGGTAACTATGATGCCTGCAAGTATTCTCCATATTTTCAAATTAGGAAATGCATGGTAGCTTATGTCCAGTCAACGCTGCTCTTCCTCTATTGAGACACTGGCCTTACTTTAGCAGTCGATCCATTTAGAGCAGTTTCCGGTCAATGGCTTTGCTTGGTTCTAGCCATGTGTCCTGTGTCCCCTTGTTTCCTACTTTTGGTTCTTTCTGAGAAATCCCCGAATTGTTGCCCAAGCGTAGGAGTCAGCTGGGTGTTTGGGTGGTTCCTGTTTCTTCTTCCTTTTTATCCTTTCCCTATCTTTCTCTATTTCTTGCATGATCTAGCTTACATCTTTGCACTATGGAAATTTGTTTAGCATATATGTAAGAAATTGGAGAAATCCTTGCCAGTATTTGCTGTCCTTCCTCTCTAAAGGCATTGTGTTCAAAATTCTAGCACAACTCATGAGTCTACTTGTTTGAGCATTCCTCATCGCATGCATTTTGCTTATTTGAAACAATGTCTGATTTTCCAATAGTGGTCACCCTAAGAAAGTCTTAGTCGTGCTAGTACATTTGCTTTAGGTCCAATATTTGCTAGGAGTCTTCTAGTCTTGTCAAAGATCTATATGCTAATAGAAAATGTGTAGAACTTCTAGCGCTAGAGAAAATAAAATTTTATAATATTGGATTTAGACGGGTCTATATGGAGCGACATGGACAGTGAAGATTCATATAGCAAACTTGCTTGAAGTTGAGGCGTTATTATTGGTGGTAACCCCAGGAGAGTGAGAGTTGATGAACTGGAGAGCAAAAGTTAATATAAAGGCATTTTAGAATAAGAAAGATGCTAAAGCCAATATTTTGGCTGTGGATTAGTGCTTCTGCTTGAGAACTCCATTTCTCCTGTGTTTCTCCTGTTTCTACTCGACATTGATTTCTTTCTCACCAACTGTTAGTCTGTTATCATCTGTGTAGCACTAGAAAAGATAATGACATGAGGGTTGCCAATGAATTTTTGGTTATTGGTTGGTTATTTGTTAATAGCATAAAGATCCACTTGAAAAATACTCGGACATACATACAGATATTGGTAAACATAGACATTTTCTATTAATATTCACTAGTATGAGTCAATGAACGGACATGTATGTCAATCAAAATGTTTGATACTTCAAAAAGTTTGAGCTTATTTAATGATTATTTTAATTGCATCCCACTACGGAAAAAGTCATCTTATGAAACATGATGACAAACAGAGTGTAGGCATGTAGTGCCAGATGTGACACCCATGACACATCGGATGCGTTTGACAAAAGTTTGATCATACCATAATTTTTTTCCTCTTATACAATCTTCCTGAATAGGAAATAAAGGTTTCTTCCAACATGCTCAGACAATAGGGATTCATTTTTGTTGGAGGCTCTCATAGTCAGTGGTTCTCCAACTGTGCTGGTGGATGATGCTGAGACACTGTAAAGGAAGGAATATATTGAAGAACAAGGTGGAGTGGATGGCGGTAAGTAATGCACTGGAGCAGCAGGTCAGGATAGAAGAAGAGAAATAAACAACTGAAGCTGGAAATGGTCTGAGGCAAAAGACATCTTTCTTTTGGGGGGGTTTTAGGGGGTTAAAACAAAATAAGGAGAAAGAGAAGAAAAAAGGAGGCAACTATTTCTGCTAGGATCTCCATAGCCTGTTTAACTTCTCTGTAACCTCACTCCTGGACACATTTCTGCTATAGTTTCCTCTTACCTGTAATTCTGGCCAGGCTGGGATCTCAAAGCAGTGATGGTCAAATCACTATTATGAAAGGTTTATTAGCGTCTCACTCAATCTTCCCAAGTTTGGTGAGCTAGAATTTGCACATGCTTTTGTCAGTTCCTAGTGATGGCATGGTACCTAGAGTACAGCAAATGTGCATCATTTTCCGTATCCTTGTTACCGCTCAATGGTTAGGCATGCTTCATATGCTGCAGGAAGCTGAGGGAGCTCTATTGGCATATGAGCTGTAATATAACAGGGATTGCACGAGGATACCTATCACATTAAATTACCACCTTGTATCTCGTTGTTATTTTGACTTCTTGATTCTGCTTAAATTCGACTTAACAGATAGTTCTCTTTCCATGCCAAGTTGGTTACATGCCTTCCAATTGGGTAGTTTTACCTGCATTTTTCTCTCATTTCAGGTCATGGGGGTGCTCGGGCCGCAGAATATGTGAAACACAACCTTTTCAGCAACCTGATAAGGCATCCAAAATTTATATCAGACACCAAATCAGCAATAGGTATATTGACATAGTGTGAAGTATAGTTGCTATGTTCATTTTCAGAAACAGCTTATCAATATCACTTCTATTCATATATTTGCTTTTGTAGCCGATGCATACAGCTATACAGACTCTGAGTTTCTGAAATCAGAAAACAATCAGCACAAAGATGCTGGATCGACTGCTTCCACTGCCATCCTTGTAGGTGATCGTTTACTGGTTGCAAATGTTGGTGACTCCAGAGCTGTTATCTGCAGGGGAGGCACAGGTAAGGCTTAGGTGATATGGTTATTTCTCTTTTGATTTTTGGCTCCTGCTTTGTGTATTTCAGCCCAAAGGCGCGCACGGGGTTTATTATGCTTTTTTGGATTTTACTTTTCTAATCTAAGTTGCTCATAATTGGGTGTGGGTGTTCGATACAGTTTCAGATCTAGAGGTCGAATCCTTCTTGATTTAAATTTAAGATTCGGGGGTGCCGATCTAGGTACGGATACGAGTGCGGGGATTTGGCTAAAAATAATTCAAATATCTGAAAATAGAGTTATTAAAATATGTCTACATTATTAGACATTATGTGAAACTTACAAGGTATTCCGAAATGGAAAAAATATTGATCAAGAGGAGAATCCGAGAAGAAGATAAAGTAAAAGGACTGACATAGAAATTTCTATATACAAGGTATTCCATTTTGTTCAATTTTACCATAGCTTTTGTTTTGATTTAAAAACTCATTGTATTGTCTCGAATTTCTCTGTCGATTTTGGTCAAAGTGCCCAAAATCGGTTGACCAGATTTGGTACGGATCCCACACCAATGTCGACACGGGCGCAACACTAAAAGTGAAGAGTACGAGCAACTTAGTTTCTAATTACTCGGTCCTAACACTACAATGACAAGTTCTTCATGTTGCGCTATAAAAGTGAAATATCACTGCTCACTGAAGTTAAGAGAACTAGATGAAAGATAAAAACATGAGGATACTTTACTTTTCATTCTAGAGCGAATGGAATAAAATAAAAGAAAGTACATCTGCATATTGATGATATTTCCTGAAACTTTGGGGTAATATGGAAAATGTCATGTCAGCACTTCTAAATATCACATCTTGTACTAGTTCATTTCATTTTCTTCCTTGTTCAACTACCATGAACAGTATCTTTGTTGTATATTACTTGCTAAGTTAAGCTGGTAATTTTCAAGTGTATATTCCTGCTATACTATTTTGGCAAACGAACTAATTACAATTACTTTGCCTGTTTTAACGTTCATTACTGTAGGGTATAGTTGTTATTATAATTAAATATGACCCTGTAGCTTTGCTCTGTCACCTAATAGAGTATGCTAATTTCATTCTCAGCTATTGCTGTTTCTCGAGACCACAAGCCTGACCAAACAGATGAGCGACAGCGCATTGAAGATGCTGGAGGTTTTGTGATGTGGGCAGGTAAGCCCTTCATGTTGTTTAGTCCTGTGTTAGTCAGTTGAAATGGTTCTAAAAGGCATACAGTTCAAACATAACATATGGTGTGCAGGTACCTGGAGAGTTGGAGGTGTACTTGCTGTTTCCCGTGCGTTTGGCGATAGACTTTTAAAGCAATATGTTGTTGCTGATCCAGAAATACAGGTAACTTGAAGAACTTTTATTCTTTCTATAGATGAATAAGGCAAAATAGGGCTGTTCATGTTTTTGAGCTGTATATCAAATGTTCTATGTATGTGCACTTGTATTTTTGAACCTATTAACTAGATGTATATTTTGGTAGATTTCTGAAACTGTTCAAAAGTTGGTCCTTATTGAATCCCGGAATACTCCCTACCTTTTTCAGACAGCAAACTTTTGCTGCTTGATTTCTTTTTTCCATCTCATAATAATTTTAGGACGTGTAACTTTTGATAGCAGCTGATAGCATGTCTCTTCGAAGATACTTCAATTGAATTTTTACTGCTTTTTCTCATCTTATATACCTAATTTTTTTGGTGTATTTGTGGGCCTAATTTTCTGTAAAAAATACAGGAAGTAAAGGTTGATGGCTCTCTTGAATTTCTTATCCTTGCAAGTGATGGACTCTGGGATGTTGTGACGAATGAGGTTCATAATTCTTCCCTTTTTTCTTGAAAGAATCAAGAAACCAGCATTCTTTCTGAGCTAGATAACCATTAAATAGCCATGGTTTTATTTCAAATATCTAGCAGTTTCTAGTCAATTACCAACCTGATCGTTACACAAAAATTTGCAGGAGGCTGTGTCGATGGTTAAGCCGATCCAAGATCCTGAGGAAGCAGCAAAGAGGCTGATGCAGGAAGCATATCAAAGAGGAAGTGCAGATAACATCACCATTGTGGTTGTCCGTTTTCTGGGTAACCAAGAGGGTTCCTCTCGTGGTGTCTCGGCTTAAGAAGTAATTGCTCAATTGCCACTTCTAATCTGTGGTAATAGAAGACAAGAAAAACTATAGGACATTACGTAAATATTGAATATAGATAGACTTATGCGATTGTGATGTAAGAAACCTTTAGAAGACATTGTCAAACTCCAGCTTCTCTAACTTGTAAGAAATGATCAAGAGTGAACCTGGCACAGTCGATCCGCAATTTGTTGCTGTTTTGTCTTCAATTTAACACTACGCTTCCACTCACCTGTTGCATACTGTAGCTTGCTGAGAATGAATATAGAATGGTGAAACTCTTCCAATTGTCTATGCTTTGTTTTCTTGTAGTTTTCATGTTGACAGCTTGTGTAAAACTAGTAAATTTATGATGAGTGCTCACAATATAGAATGCATTGAGATGTTCCCTCCTAGGCAAGCGTTTCCTGCTCGGGATTGAAGCGTAGTAGTTGTTACTGTGTCACATCCTGGCTTGCTTTTCATGATAAGCAATGTTATACTGTTGTGCCATTGTGCTATGTAATTCGAAGTACATGACTCCTCAAGTCTCTGAAGTGAGTTAGTACTTGAATTGACTAAGTTAAACAGCATTTTACACACAGGACAGGTTTGACAAGGTAATAAATGGCCAATATATATTGGATAGTTCATGCATTTATCGGAAGTTAAAAGTATGATTTCTTAGTAGGTGGATAGCCACTAGGCTTCCTTCTAAACATTATAAAAATATTGGATGATGATCTCACCATATTTTTTTCTGAATCAAGTCAAATTTGTATCTGCACCTAACATGATTTAGAAATAAACTTACTTTTCCTAAACAGTTAAAAAGATGTTGCTTGAGATTAGAGAAGGGGTTGGGACCTAAGTATGTCTTTGTAAGAATGTTTATAAATTGAAGCTGTCTTTCTAAGAATGTTCTTGGTAAAAGTCTCGAGTTCTTTAAGCCATCAGTCATCTTAATTAATTAATTTGTTTTTGTGGTGTTTACTGGAGTTTCATCTCGCTAAATTAAATAATCATAGAGAAGCATGTTGCGCACAAAATTGCAATGTGTAACTATATAGACTCCTAAGTCCTATCTTCCTCTTCCTCTTTGTAATTTTTTTCATTTTTTTTTTAATGTTTTGAGAGGTCGATATTGAAACTATATAGCTATATCATGTGCTCGGTTCACTTCTATTCTAGCCTAACTAGTGCGCTGTAGTTGAAGTATTGGCTGATTAAGTACATGTCTTTCAAAACAAGATCGGCAGAAAAGAAGAAAGAGTTGCTCATCAGTTGCATAATCAGTGCGGAGTGTTACTTCCTGTAGCATTCGTTTAGTCGTCCATTTTAATCAGTGCGGAGTGCTGCTGTACGAAGATATACGACGAAACCTAGAAATCGATCACTGATCCAATTTGAGTACCCTGCAGGATAGACCTCAACAGAAAACTGATACTTCCACATAATCAGGGTAATGTAGGAGACATCTCTATTTTTTTCCCCGGGGCTTGTTGACCCATTGGTTGCAACTATATTGCCTTGATGTTTCGAAGTATCATAATACTAATCTGATTTGGTGGATAATTGCTACACAAACTCATACTTCTGTTCTGCACCAAATTGAGAGCTCTATATTTGCATCTTCTGTGTTTTATTCTCAACGAAGACAACTGCTCACATTTGACAAGCTCAGCAGGGTTCTTTCACATTCGAACAAGGCTGCAAGTTACCCATCTAATCAAATGCAAATTGAGGGAGAATAAGCAATCATTTTCAACCAAGAGTCTAGAGCATATATAACAGAATCATTGTTTTATATATATGTGAAGAGTAAGATAAGAAAGATATACTTCTCTTGATCGTTGCATCAATTTCCGCCATCTTTTTACCAGTAGTCTTTACAAGAACATTCTCCATCTTTAAAATGATGAAACCTGTTCCTATCTCTGACGATAATTTCACGATCATAAACCTTTGAGATTAACTTGCTTGCCTGATGACAATCTTTGCAGACACGCAAATTCTTTGTGATGCGAAGAACTGCCCCAGGTTTAGTCTTCAACAACCCAAAAGCAATAGCCAATTTCTCACTATGATAATACAAAGGATTTTCTCTTTCCTCCTCATCAATATCCTGTTGTAGTCCATCAGAATCTGGGACATAGCCTGCAGATTTAATACAATCCAAAATTTCATTTACTTTGGCATATATCTCTTTGGCTTGAGGATGAGTCCTTCCTCCTGCAATGAACTCGCTAACAACGCCTTCCAATTCAACCACAGAGAAGCCAGGGGCCTTTTTCACTCCCCTGTCATTCATCAACTTCCTTATATTGGCAACATCTTCCCATCTACCAGCATAAGCATATAAATTAGCTAACAGCACATACCGGCCACTGTTTTGGGGTTCCAGTTCAATCACCTGCTTCCCTATTATCTCTCCCAGCTCTATGTTCTTGTGAATCCTACATGCACCAAAAAGAGCACCCAATACACCTACATCGGCACTCATAGGCATTTCTTTTATGATCTTTCTTGCTTCTTCCAGTAATCCAGCTCTTCCAAGCAAATCAACTAAGCAACCGTAGTGCTCCATGCCAGGTTCAATGCCATACGCTTCTTTCATATAATGAAAATAGTATTTTCCTTCTTCAATCAATCCTGAGTGAGCACAAGCACTAAGTAAATTCACGAACGTGATATAATCTGGAGCTACCTTCTTACTCTCCATTTCCTTCAAAAGCTCAATTGCAGCCTCACCTTTCCCATGCATCGCCAACCCTCCAATCATACAATTCCATGAAGAAATTCCTTTTCTTGGCAACCCTTTAAAGAACTGAAGAGCCTTATCCAAGCAACCACATTTGCTATACATATCAATAATAGTAGTAGCCAGCTTGGAGTCCAAATCAATCCTACTCTTCTTGACCTGTTCAACTATCCACTCGCCTTGCTTCAACGCTCCGAGTCGTGTACAAGCCGATAACATGCTTGCAGCAATAAAATTATCAATGACAACATCCTCAGACATCATTCTTTCAAACAAAGCAAATGCCTGGTGAAACTGGTTGTTGTGCACATAAGCTGATATCATAGCATTCCAACAAACAGAACTTTTCTCCGAATTTGAATCAAACACACGAAAAGCTTCAGCAAGATACCCCAATTGAGCAAACCCACTAATCAATGTGGTCCAAGAAACATCATCTTTCTCATACATACTATCAAACACCATCATAGCTTCCTCCAAGAAATGAAAATTTACATACATATGAATCAAATTGTTCTGAGAAAACTTATCAAACCCAAAACCAAATTTTATCACATGACCATGAATTTGCTTTCCTTCTTCCACAGCATTGTCTATACAACATGCTCTGATAACAAGAGGGAACGTGAAATTATTGGGTCTAACTGAACGCTCTAACATATGGGAGTAAAAAAGAAGAGATTCCTTCAGTAGTTGAGATTGCAAGTAACCTCGAATGATGGTGTTGTAGATGAAAGTGTCTGGGTTAGGCAATTTATGGAACACTTGGAGGGCGTAGTTTAAATCACCTGATTCAAAAGTTGCACAGAACTTAATGACTCGACCCATTGCGTCATTGTCACACGACAGGCCAAGTTTGATAATCTGGGCTTGGAATTGCTTGAGTTCAGACATTGTTGAGCATGATTCTAAGCCCCTTAAGGGCGTACTTAGAGTGTTGGTGGTTTTGGGTGATGCTGGAGATTGTGGGGTAGGAATGACATGAAGGATAGGGGCCATATTGCATGTTGTAATTTGCTAATTATGATGAGAACTTTCTGCCATAAAGAAAATACACTGACGAGAGTTCTTACATCTATAGGACAAACATGCTTAGGGTACGGGTATACAGAATTTTAAATTTATGGGTTCTAACACAAATTTTAAGTTACTATATAATAATAACTGAATTAAAGGACTGGCTAAATATTTTTATATATATTTAATAAATTTTTTAATATATATGCCGAATCTAGACAAAAGTTAATGGGCTTAACGACTAATTTGAGAGTAATGTGAGATGTTCATTTATCCTTGTAATTTTATGTCCTTTATGTTGCTTGGAATATAATGTTCTTTAAAAACTATACTAAGTTGAGCATCGGATGATATCTAGCTTGCTTTAGTACTCAACTAAGTGCTCATGCTAACACATCATTGTCGCGTCTTGAATGAGTACCAAACAAGGTTCCAACAATTGTATCGTCGAATTCAAAATTTAAAATTTATGAGTTCAACTTTAAATATTTTAAATAGTAAATTCATTATATTTTTAAATTTATGGGTTCATATATACTATTTTACAATTTTACTAAATTTTTACTCATAAATTTATACTCTCCGTCGAAAGTTATGTGTTTAAATGAACCATTTACTAGCATATCACATACACTCCTGCCAACGAGTGATTACTCAAAGACCGAGAAATAATAATCTACTAAAGTGCACGAACGAAATCTCCTCACGACGTTCATCACGATTCAGCATAACAAAACTTCCCCGAAGACTCAAAAATTAAGAGTTACTACAGTTGAGATTAAGGGTATTTCTCATTGTTATGTGTTGTTACCAATTGTATTGTATTTTATTATTACTTTAAATACAATGTTTGTTTTGATTGTTACTTATATTTTATTATATCGTATTGTAGAATTCATTGTTATATAACTGTCACGATCCCAATTTCCCTTCTTAGGATGTCGTGATAACACCTAATCTCTAAGACTAGGTAAGCCTAGCATACATGAAGAATTTTACTGAAATACTAATAAAACTTTTAATTTAACCAATAGCTATCATAAAAAGAACTCCACAACACAACTCAACATAACTCCCAAAATTTGGTGATACCGAGTCACAAGCTCTATAGAGTGTACTGAACATCCCTATACAACAATCTCTTAAAAAAGGAGAATGCAATAGAACTAGATAGAGGGTAACTCCGAGGCCTGCAGACGCACTGATGCCTAGGCTGGTATGAAGTACCTGAAACTGCATAAAAAGATGTGCAGAAGCATGTATACCACAACGATACCCAGTAAGTATCAAGCCTAACCTCGGTAGAGTAGTGATGAGGTCGGGTCAAGACACATACTGAAACTGAGCCGGTATAGTATAGTATGATAATGAAAATAAGGAAAATGATACAAGAACAAACGTAACAAGGATAGCTACACTGAGACTAAGACAATTAAGTCATCAAAGGAAGAAACACATAATAAGAATGCCAAGGGAATGATGCAAACAAAACACAAGTGATATAAATGAAAGGTATCAACAAGAATCACTATTGAGG